TGTTAGTGGCATGCTATCGCATACAAACAATACCTGGTACATATTAATTATGTTGTTTGTTGAATTATTTCATATTTTATGAAATGTTGATCTTCGTAAAGCCTTTATTTCCGTCAAACCATTGTTTTCTGCTCAACTGTCATTGTCCTTTGCTCGGTCGTCATTGTCCCTTGTCACAGCGTCATCGATGTGGATTATCTGTTGATCTTTTGCTTTTACATTGTGTCCTTAAATCACGAGTTCCAAATACTGTACGTAGGCCTAGTGTATTTCTCCCTCGTAATCCCCTTCGAATTAATACGTGCCGTGAATCACCAATGACGACGAGATTCGTCTCCTCTTCGATTTGTTGCCGTCGGTTATAGAAGTCACAAGAAATTGCAACACTGCTCCTTCCTCTCAAACTTTCCCTGTCCTTGAATTATTGTTCAGATTTTACCAAAGTACCTTTTTCCTCAAGTGCTTCACATTGTCTTTCTCGTTCCCCCTGTCCTCGCTGAGTACTGGAGCTTGCATCCATTATCTTCTTGGCTCAAGAGAATGTTTTTTCTCGCCAATGTAAACAGACCTATTAAGTGCTATTGCCCTAATTCGCAGTGTAGACTAGCTGGCAGACAAAAATAATGAAAGGCCTGGAAATACCGGTAAAACAGCGAAAACTGAGCAGTTTCATTGGTAGTTGTTGACTTGTTTGTTAAATGAGCAATTGAATTTTGTAATTGATTGCTTGAGGGGTTTTTAATTTGCAACGCATACATTATTTATTGAATTTAAGTGATCCAAAATAATACCCATATTACTTTCCTTATAAGATAGACCTAATTATCAAGAAATAAGTATTATTTTAATAAATAAATTTTTGTAATTATAATTTTTTTTAATTCATATGCTATAATTTTGTTTTGTACAGGCCTACCACATTTCTAACTTGATCTACTTGCAAGTTTAATTTGATTATTTTGTATGACGGGAAGGATCCTGGGTCGTTTTTGCTGGAGAAGGGGTAGGGGAGAGGCTGGAAGAAGTAAGAAACATAATGAGGGCTGTGGATGGGCAGTTTTGACCGAAACTTATAATACAGTGAAATCTGTCACAGTAGTAGCGCCAGCTGAGTGCACAGGGAATCCTCTCCTCCCCCGCCCCGCTGTGTGGCTTGGACCCCGTCGTCCGACACGACTGTGAGGTCATCAGATCAAAACTACACTCTTTTTTTTTTATAAGAAGTAAAATTTTGCCCAGGCTCAATGTTCTTACTTTTTGGCTGATTCAGGCTCAAAATGTTGTTATTGTGTTCTTATATGATACACACTTTTCGAACATAGAAAATTAGTATTGTACAGCAGTATACACTGTACGTAAAAGTGGACCCGCAAAAAATTGGTCCCAAAAAAAATGCCCCGCAAATAATTGGTCTCATTAAAAGAAAGCCCCGGTACAAATGGCCCAAAATTACAGGTAGGCACACCAATGTAGGCCTACTGTATTGAGGGTATTACATAATCACACCTATTGCACATACAAAATATAATTTTGTGGGTTTCTAGTTTTTAAAAACCTCATAAATTTGCATTTTACGGTACCTCAGCCTCAATTTTCTTAATTTTTAAGCAATTTCAACCTCAAAGAGTGTTCTTATAAAATGTGTTCTTATAAAAAAGCAAAACAAAAAAAATCTATTAATTTGCCTGTTCAAATGACGTTATTTTGATTGCCAATCCCTAATACTGTATTGTAGGCTAGAAGCATAATTTTAAACCATAAAAAACTCTCCCCATTAAACCCTACCAGGAATATTTCGAGTCCGTCGGTTCAGACCCCGCTGTCGGACATGACAGACCCCTGTGGGCAAAATTTCTGGAGCCACCTCTGGCACACCCCTGGTTCTATGTAATACTGTATTAGCAATTTGATAGGCCACCGGCTTTTTAACTATTTGTTACTATCAAACTATTTTACTACCAAACTTTTTGAGTTAATAACTAAAACTAAGTTTAAGTAACTAAGACTGTCCGATAGTGAACGTTGGTCTTCTACTCGATTACAGTTATGAAACAGCGTCCTCTGTAACACATGGTGGCGAAACAATTATGTTCTGAAGTCAAGTGTGTTGTTTTCCAAGAATTACGGAAGTTTTGATATGAAAGCATAATGAACGATTAATTTCTGAATTCCCTTTTGTTAATTCTCGCCGTGGGTCCGGGTCAATACTAGAAAGTCAGGCTTATTTAAGTAAAGGAACAACAGAGGAGTGTAAAAGATTATAAATCCGCAAAAAAATATGGCTTTATCAAAGTTCGATACCGCACTAGGAGACCAAATAATACGGTGATTATCCAATTCATCAACGGCGCCCAATGAAATGTGTAGCCCTACCATACTTTCAAGACAGAAGTCAAGGAAAAGCTGTTTTGACTGAATTTAAAGCCATTTCTCTGCGAACAAAGTGCAAAGTATATAGGCCTATAACACTACAAATTATGTGTTATTTCGCCAACAGGGAATGTATTCTCGTTTTAACTGTTAAGTAAATTCACCAAATGCTCAAGTGAAGTAAAAAGCTAGCAGTCTATTTCGCTCATATTGTGCCACTATGTACTGTAGTAGCCTTGGGCCAACTATACACTGGTT